CCTCGTACCTCGTTGGGTGTAGCTTCCATAAATAGACTCTTTAACCGATCCATGAGTTGCACATATGCTACCCTCGATGGTACACCAATTATTGAAAACATTTGGGGGGTGAATTTTTTGCCGGTTAAAGAGTCTATTTATGGAAGCTACACCCAACGAGGTACGAGGTCTCGTCGACTGCGTCAGCCTAAACGTGGTAGTACAACGCGATTCATACCTCCTCTTCGGATGAGCTCGAGCCACGAGTCAATTCTTCATACACTTTCATACCAAATGAAAGCTCCCCCAACAATGTTTTTCGGCTCAGCCGGGATGAGGATAACTTTTGGGAATCAGGCTTATGCAAAATCCAATGGGAAAATTCAACTACCAGTCCGCCTTCACCTTAACAAAATAGGGCGAGGCCAGTTCTTTAATTGTGGCAAAAAATTCACCCCCCAAATGTTTTCAATAATTGGTGTACCAGAAAATCTCAAATATTCATCTCACCGTATGCATAGGCCACATTGAAAATCGTCTCGTAGCAAACTGGCTATTTCCTCTTTTCTGGCAGGAGCTAAACACATTTGTAGTTGTGCGTGTGTATGTGATTGTGTGTTGGTGTGCACGTTTGTATGCATTTGGAGGATTGGTTGTGTGCGCAGATGTGAAGAGAGCAAAAAGGATGTCAAAGACTGGTTAGGTGATGAGGAGAAAATTACATAATAATAATGTCATAGTAAAAGAGTTTTCTGTAGCTCACTTGGCAGCCAGAATGTGAACCTCAACCCCACGAGGCACAGCAGCAGAGCGATTTCCTTTTGGCTCCGACGGCCTGAGATGGAATCACAACGATGCATACCCATATGCCTGCATGTCTTTATATATGTCCGCTTCTCTGCCTGTCTGTCTGTCTGTCTGTCTGTATGTATATATGTATGTCTGCATGTCCTTCAGTCTGTCTTTATGTCTGTTTTATGAGATGTATTCACCATATTTCATGTGGGGTGATGAAGAGCTGGTAGTTGAATTTTCACAACTATCAATTTCACATAACCTTGCTTTCCCAAAAGTTGTCCTCATCCCGGCCGGAGGGGACTGCAGTTTCGACCTCGGGACTCGAACCATGCCAGTGCAGCGTGTCATCTCGACACGCGGATGCGCATTTCAAGGGGGGGGCAGGCATGCTCACACCGCCGCTTTAAACGAAATAGGGTGGATACATTGCATACTACTTATTTACTGATAGTCTCGATACCATAATTATGAACAAATTTTTTCCTCTGCATTCATATTTGCACGTCTGTCCGTCTTCATGACCCGCATATCCGTCTGTCTGTCTGCTTGTCTGACTATCCGTCAGTCTGTAGTTATTTATTATATGCATCATCGTTTCCAGAATAGTTATGTCTGTTTGCTTTCCGTTTGTCTGTCTATCAAGGCAGACAGACGCAAGCTTGACGGCGCCAGTGAGACGCATCGACGCAAATTTCTCACTAATCTCACCGGTGAGTAGATGAAACCTTAACAACGGCGTCCTGTTGCTGGGTGGCCTGGCAACATGATGTGATCACGTAGACGACAGCCGAAAGCAAGTGATCAAGTCGTTCTCGTCACGAGAATTCGCATCAGCCTCCGCAACCTGCCGTCGTCAGCTTCAACTTTGCGAACTCACGCCCAAAGATAAAGCCAACAAGCTTACATAACCCGATCACGCAGTCGTTTCCAACGGCATATATCCACTTTTTGATGTGATTTCGTGTTGAACACAAACAGGGCGTGCATAAAATGTTCACTCGACCTCGATGGCTGGAGCTGATGTCGGGCCTGGTAGTTGAATATGCCCACAACTGACTGAAATCATCATTGCAAGCCTGACCACAACAGCCGTGTAAGCGGGTCCGCCGGGACTCGAAGCTGGGTCCTCGAAACCCACCTTTTATTCCTTCGATTGCGTCATTTGA